TCCACTAGTTTTGAAACAAAGAAAAGATAATCTCAGAAATTGAAGAGATGACTAATACTTATGAATACTTATTTTAGCTCCTTTTATGGGTCCCCAACGATTTGTTCAATGTAGTGCTCTTGTCTTTTTCGCCACTACTGACTGTAAGCTCTTTGGGGCCATAGCCATCTTTGAGCTTCTTTCTTACAGCCATCTGGCAGAGAGCTTTGTACATGACATTTATTTCTTGAATGGACATAGACATTAACTACTTAGCATGCATACTTTTTCATTTTCATTTCATTTTCTAATTATTCATTGCTAATATACAGAAATAAAATTAATTCTTTATATTGACTTTTATCCTGTATCCTTACCTGGTTCACTTATTTGTTCTATTTTTTTTTTTTTTTTAGATTCTTTAGGATTGTCTACATATGCTGTTATGTCATCTGCAAAGATAGTTTTACTTCTTTCTAATATGGATGCCTATTCTTTCTTCCTTTCCTTTCCTTTCCTTCCTCCCTTCTCTTCTCTCCTCTCCTCTCTTCTTTCTGGCTACTGCAAGAGCTAGAACCTCTAGTACAATACTGAATACCTCTAGAATATTCTTGCCTTGTTTTTGACTTCAGGGGGAGTATGTTCTGTCTTTCACCATTAAGTATGATGTTAACTGTAGGTTTTTTGTACATGTTCTTTATTGGGTTGAGGACATTCTCTTTTATTTGTAGTTTGCTAAGGGTTTTTATTATAATATGTGTTGACTTTTGTCAAATGCCTTTTCTACAACTACTAAAATGATCACATGGTTTTTCTCATCTTTTTCTATTAAGATAGTGAATTTCAATGATTATTTTTGAAATTTAAAGCTGTATTTCTCATCTTAAGTTATGAAGTTGAGTTTTTGATATAATAGTCATTCGAGAATGTTGTCTTTGAGAACTGATCCTAAAGATTTCAGATTGATCTGGAATGTCAGATAGGTAGCAGCAACTTTGAAGTCTTTCCTGACCATTATTTTATTGCTCCCACTACTGTATTCAGAGATACAAATATGAATGGGGTAGTGCACCAAGGGTCAGTAGCATAGAGTAATGTTTCTTTAAGTCTGATTCAAGAACCACTTCAAACAGAATTATTTATGGTGTTTGATAAAACTTCAGTTAGTGTACCCTCTGTCATACTTCATGCACCCTCTGAGAGCAAGGCCCTGGAATCTGCATTTTAGACAAGCTTCACAGGTAACATTCTTACTAAATTTACAGAACCACTGCTACATGGTTAATTACATTTGTATGTATGGGTTTGTGTGTATGGATACACAGCCTATCTCATCTGTTATTTGGTATAAAAGATATTATTATTGTAATTTTATTGATATGAACACTGAGATTTACTAAGGTTAAAAAACTCTTGAGTTCATTCAACTAGTAAGTCATAGAGCCAGGTTTTGGACCCATTAGAGTCTGAGGTCAATCAATAGGTAGATAACTTCCTGTGCATTCATAGCTCATGCTCCAAATTAATTTTGCCTGAGTTATCCCTGAGATTTTTCTCAATCATTTGCTTTGCTTTATCTTTGTTAAGTTTTTTACATCCTCATTTCAGTGAGGAATTTTTGTGATTCAACTAAATATGAAAGCTGAAACTTACTTTCTAAAAACAATTGTTTCCCTTTGACAAATTTTGATTTAAGGATTCATATTTGGGACAGCAAAGCAATGAATTCTCTAAAGAAGAATCTTTTGGTTCTTTTCAGATGTCTTGTTAGCAATCCTATGATATGAAAAGAGTTGAAAAGTATGTGAAAAAATGAATAATTAATGACTATTAAAAACAGACTGATTTTGCCTTTAAATACAATGCAAATATTTTAATGAAAAATTCACAAGAAAAGATTAGCAGCTAGGATCCAATAGCATATGAGAAGAAGAACTTACCATAATCAAGCAGCTTATTCTGTAACTATTAAAATAATTTATCAATATAGCTCATCATATTAATGGGAAAAATTACAAGGAAAAATATGATTATTTCTATAAAAACAAGATAGTCTTTAATGAAAATCATCATTCATTCCAATTTCTAATTTTAAAAAATTATAAAATAGGAATAAATGGAGACTTAACATGCATCAAATCTCTCTATCAACCCAACAATTCGCATTATGCTTAAAAGTGAAATTCTAAAAACATTCTCATAAAGCCAAAAACCATACTAAGTATCATTAAGACTTTTGATATCAGGATATCCACTGTTACTTATGAATTTTTAGTCAAGGTAATTAGAGATCAATGCTAAATACCTCTTTAAAAAGAAGAAAGACAGTAATAAATTTGTGTAAGGACTATGATTATATTCCTATAAACAAATTACTTTTAACAGTAAAACTATTAGAAATAGAAACTGTTAAAAATTTTTGCAAAGGTCAGCTAAGGTGGCTGGTTTCAAAATAAAGGAAAAGTAATTTGTGACATAGAAAAAGCAATGAGATAAAATTACATCAGGGGAAAATTTCCTAATAAATGACAATAGAAACAAAAATATGAAACATCTAGGAATTAATAAAAATGCAGGACCTATATGTAGAAAACCTTTTTGAAAACATAAAGGAAAATAATTGACAAAGGAAGTTTAGGATGATATTTCAAATCAGTAGGAAAAGATGGACTATTGATTATTAAGTGATATTTAGAATATTGGCTAGTCATTTAGAAAATATAAAGTTAATCCCTACCTCACACCTTACACCAAAATAAATTTGATGTAGATAAAAATTTTAATGTGAAAAAGGAAACCTTTTATGGTGGGGATATTATGTTCACAATTAATTATAAGGTCTGGAATGGAATTTTGAGTATCTTTACTTTTGTATTTATATTTTGTTTTTTTTTTTCTAGAGAGGGTATGTATTACACAAGTGATTGTGTAATAAAAAGTATGTTTTTTCCAATATTTAATACTCAGGCAAACAAGAAATTATAGTATAAGGGAAATGATGTTTTTTTCTTCAGGTCCAAGCAAGACTTGGTTTATTCTGACAATATTGGGTAATAGTTTCTGTCATTGTTTAATCTTTCACCCACATAATTTTTTCTGTGTTGTGATGGATGAAATAATTGTATGTCCTCCCTGTCCTAGTCATAAGGCATGAGGCTCTCAGAGAGAATGTTCATTGAGGATGATAGGAAGTTGACATGCTGTAAATACAAGAATAGACACATGAATTCTGGTGCTGAAAATGAGTCAATCAAGCAATCCGTTTCCTAAAAAGTGGTTGTTTCTTAGAAAAAAATTACTTTAATTATATTTTACAATATATGTACACTGTAACAAACATTAAGAAAATTCTCTATTTACTATTTAGTGACTACCGGCTGCTAGTTATTTTCATTTGTTGTTGCAAAACTAAGATGAGATAAAGAGCACTATTTATTGCTGTCCTCACCTGAAGATTTAACATTTTATGAAATGTAAGTCATTCTTTAACGTATTTTACTTTAAGCAATAAAGGATAGTTTATACATTTTCCCACATCAAATGAATTTTTTGTTTTTTTGGTTTTGCTTTTCTATTTTGTTAATAGCAAAAGTGAATTTACTGACAAAACTCCGAACCCGGTGGTAGAAAATAACAAGGGGAAATCCCCAAGCCATATAATAAAAACCTGGAGCGCAGTCCAGGTGTGTTTATTGCAGGTGTGTGTTGTGGGGTGGGAAATGGGGTGGACAGATGACCAGCCAACAGGGTAAAGCGGAAGCACAAGTGTAGAAGTTGTCCAGCTCCCCGAGGTCATCCTCTCAGCACACTGGCCGTCTTTGCTTCTTCACCAGCAGGACCATGGCCTGCTGACCCTCAGTACAGGAGCTGGGAAACTGTGGCACTATTCTTGGAGGCCGTGACCAGATACTGTTTTTTTCCCCCTCCTTTTGTTTTTCTGTAGACACCTGGCACTTTTATTAGTGAGGAGCTTTTGACTGGGAGATGGGAGGCTGGGATGACACCAGCGCCCATCTCGGGGGATTTTCCTGGACCTCAGGCATCTCCTGTGGGCGGGCTCAGAGGAGCACCCGCGTGGGTGGAATCCCCGAGCTCAGCGCTGTGGCTGCCCAACCGCGGGTAGGAGGGCGCGTCATGCAAAGCCTGGTCGCTGGGACAGCGGGGCTAGGATGTTGGGCTCCGCGCTAGCCGGAGAGCGGTGGCCGTACCCGCGCGCTGGCACACCGTGCAGGCCCACCAGGACCATCTCGAAGTTCCAGGTGGCGGCTAGCGGCTCACCCCAGACCAGGCCATGAGCTTGGTGCCCTTTAGGAGCGCAGCGGTGTCCTCCGGCAGGAAGCAGAAGAGCCAGAGCGCCTGCGTGCCGTTCCCCTTTCACTGGAAGGCGTGTGTGTTTGTGAACATGTTCGTGTAGGTGTACGTGTCTGGAAGAGTATGAAGTTGGGTTTGAACATGCCGCTGGGTCAGATGTACTCTAGGGAATTCAAGATCTCTTCATTCCTGTTGTTCTGTTGGCTGAACTGCATGGAAAGCCGAGCACTACTGTATCAGAATAATTTAGAGGACTTGCTAAAAATATGCATCCATTGCATCCTTACTCCGAAGTTTGAATACCACTAGAGACTCTGTTTTTCTGAAATCACAACTTATTATACCCATTTAGTATTTTATTGTACTACTTTTTATTGCTACCTAATTGTTTGATGTGTATGTGAGGTCCCTATAGTTTTACCCTAGACCTACATTGTCTGAATATTTTAAAGCTCAGGTAAATCCAAAATTACTAAAAAAGTTTTTCTATACCTCTGGCATATTCTTGAATTAAAAAGAATACGCAAAGAACTGGCTAGTGGTGATCAAGAGCTTAAAATATGTTTGTATTCTATTAAAGAATAATTCCTACATACAACCAGAAATAAGATTGCTATTACAACCTTTAAAGAATGGTAAAGTGAAACTTTTTGATTGTATACAAATATATATATATAAATCTTCTTAATAATAAGACTTCTTCTCCTCAGGCAACTAACCATGAAGAGAAATACTATCAATACGCAGCACTCTTTTGTAAACATTCCCAATGTGGTTGTACCAGAAATTGAAAAGGAAATAAGGAGGATGGAAAACGGAGCATGCAGGTAAATCCGTGCATTTTTCCATATGTTAATACCAGCCACAGTTCTTAAATTTAAGTAGGCTTAATTTCAGTTTAACTTTTAATTTGTGAACTTGATCTTTTTATTTATTTACTTAAGGGAATTTGTTCATACTTGGAACAGCATAACAAATGAACATAGATATTACTGTTGGCATTATTTAGAAGCATCTCTGCCAAGTATTCCCTTAGTCACTGGCAAGGTCTTCTCTCATGAGACATTTCAAATCTAAAGGGATAACAATGCTGTAGATGAATATGAAAAATATAGAGTGTGAAATGTTAACATGCTTTAAAAGTGTAATTTAAAGTAGTTACCCTAGAAATGAATAGAATGTGCATAAATGTAGATAGAATTTTTGGTGGAAGGAAATGTATTACAGGTTAGTTCACACAAGTATATAATAAGACCTAAAGCACAGATATCATACTTTCTATTTGATAAATATTAACATTAACCAATGCATCAAACAATAGAAATATGGAAGACCTAGAAAGTGATTTTTTAACTCATGCATTTTACTGAATTGTATGTGTACTCTTTCTAATACTGTGTATTTTGTACAGTTCTCATTTCACTCTAATTATAAGCTGTTCTATGTGTTAGTTTGAGTGGGAAGGAGAATAGATGAGGCCATGGCCCCCTAATGAGAAATGCTGTTCCTCCACATCAGTTTAAAACATTTCTCTAATTCGTCTCTGTGTCGTATTGGACTGTAGCTCCTTTTCTGAAGATGATGACAATGCCTCTATATTTGAAGAATCAGAGAGTGAAACCCCCCGCACAAGTGATTCCTTTAGAAATAATTCACATGGAAAGGGTCGATCGTCACAGAGGTGAGCAGTATGATCTATTCCTCTGTATCTGGTTTTTAACTATTATTTAGATGAAAGAAAGGTATTCTACTCTTCCACATAGTGGTCTTGGCAAATTCCCTGCTATCCAGCCACTATGCAAGATCTCAGGGGTAACTTGCTACTGCCATTCCTCACCCCTCTCCTCTCAGACAACTGCCACAGCCTGAGGAGCATTCATGTGCATGAGGCTCCAAGTCATAAACACTTGCTGATCATTTTCCTTGAGACCTGTGGCTTAAGAAACTTCATGCCCCAGGCCTCTCTGATTTCCTCCTTCTTTCTGATCCTTCTTCTAGGGGCCGGAACAATTGTATGTGAGAGGGGTTGACATTCTTCATCCCATTTGACCCTACTTTAGAGGAAGTAGAACACTGGAGTGAGTAGCTAGAAGAGAAAAAGCTAAAAATCCTTGGTAGGAAATAAAGCACTCATGGAAACAAACTTCACACACGTGACTCTGAACATGTAGAAGAAGTGTAGTGTTAGTGTGTATCAGGGGTTCCCATCCTATTTACTATTTGTCTTCTGCTTTTTCTCCCTCCTTTTTTTTCTCTTTCCTATTTCTTTTCCCACTGACCACCTTCAGCTTTCCCACTGCTTTTATTTCTTTTCTTACCTGCCTATCTTCACTGATAATCTAAGTCTTAGATCTCTTGTTGGGAGTTACTGGCATCTAAGTTGACTTACTCAAGGCCACAGAGGATGCTGATTTTTGTTGTGAGCATTGTTAATAGGCATTTACTAATTACTTTGGTCCATGGCACTGATATTCAGCAACTCATGCTCCATGGAGCTTCTATATTTTTAAAACTAACCTAGGAACTAGTTAGTAATGGGTAGAAACTGAAAAGAATTTGTTCTTTATGACTGTTTGCTTACCATGGACATTATACAGACAGTGACTATTATGATTTCCCTGCACTTTTTCATTTCCCAGGGAGCAGTACCTGCCTGGTACCATTGCACTTTTCAACACTAACAACAGCAGCAATAAGGAGCAGTAAGTATATTTGCAATAGAAAACCAAAGCCTTGTTTTTAAAGAAAATCAGTAAAAAGGTAGGATTATATCTGAACCTGACATTTTTTAGGTAAACTCTATCTAATACATTGGCAATAATATTCTATTATTTCATCATTTGGTTACTTACTTCTGAAAAATGTGGCTACCCATATTAATGACAGTATGTTTGTGTGTATTATTTGAATACATACAGATCTCCATAGCAGACATATAATTGCCCATTCTTGTGGACAGGTGACTGACAAAAATCAGTGAAATGTCATTAATCCTTCCCATTCCCAGGAATTTGTGTCAGGTCACGTTTCCCAGGTGACAGTCTCTGAGATGGAGGATTGTGTGCGGAGGATCATTGGCAGTGCTCTCAGGAACTGTGCCCAGAAGGGAATTAGGGGAGCAGGACTGAAGGGAGGGTGAAGCTGACCTCCCAAGAATAAAGCTGATATGCCCTATGATCCCACGGGGAGCTCTGGAGTGGGGATAACCCTTCAGAGTCGTCCCATAGTTAGGCAGTAGGATTGGGCCTTTATACCTATGTACAGTCATTGGATGGGGGCTGCCCCTAGAAAGGGGAATAACTTTGAATATGGAGGCTTCCTTTAGCCAGGGCCAGCCAAGGGAGTAGGAAACGGAGCTGCTGGCAACCAACACGCTTGGCAGGTGAGGGCCTGAGTCCTGTGCGCCATCACGTTCATGCAGCACATTTCTTGCACTGCTCAAATCCTCTGGGTGTGTATCCATTTCTTGTAGAACTTTCCTTATGAAACCAGATTTCTGGTCTTGAGCATGGGGGCAGGTATGTGAACACAAGAGCCAGAATTCTTGCTCAATGGAGAAGAAAGTAAATAAAAATGGAAGTCAGAATGTAATTTGGTTATGTGAGAAAGATATTGTTTCTCCTTTAGAGAACCAAAGGGAAAAAAGAAAAAAGAAAAGAAGAGGTAAGTTAGACTTTTTCCTGAATGACATCACGTTTTTCTGCCTGTCACTTTTTGGTATTTTATCACTAACTACATCTCTCACTTTTCAGCAAGTCAGATGGTAAAAGTGAAAACAAAAAAGACTCTGAGAAGAAAAAGAAGAAAGAGAAAGAGAAAGAGAAGAAAAAGAAAGAGGAGGGAGGTAAAGATAAGAGAGAGGAGTAAGTATTTTTACTGGCATTGAAATTAGGTATGAATCTGAGATGGGCTTGGTTACAGGGAGTATTTCCTGAAAGTTTATAGTAAAGATGCCCTGTATAAAGACTAAATGAATTGCTGTCAAATGTAAATTAAAATATTTTTTCTGATTTCCTTAAAATTAGCAATGGTGGCCTTATTCTTCACTTTCTCATGAAGAAGTTTTAATGTTATGGTTAATTCCATTCCTCAAGCGTTGGTGAAGATATACTTACCACTGGGAGATATTTAGGTTCCAAGGAGAATTGGGTTCCTAAGATCTTACCATTGGTTTTTTAAATTGAAATAGAAATTTAAAAATTTCATTAAGACTTCTGAGCAATACATACTGTATGGCAAATAGTTCAAAGCAATGAAGTCTCATTACAAGAACCATGTCTAATTTCGAGAGCAATACAAATGCTATCAGAACATTGGCCATTTGAAAGAGCCTTTTTAAAGCAAACATTTGAGAGTTAGAATGTCACAAGGCTAAGGCCGAGTGATATCATCAAAGCTATCTTTTCACTTTTTTATTAAAGGGAAAATTGTTTTCTAAACTTACTTGAAGAAAACTCTCTACCAGACAATGGTTTGATTATTTGTACCTGTAAGAAATTGTTGAAGTTTGTGTAAAGGTGAAAGTCCTTAAATATATAGACTTGATACCAGAAAAAAAATTTTAATTTCCCTTTGACGATACTTTTTCTTTCTCCCTTCCTGTTTCCCTCTCTTGCCTCTCTTAACCCTTCATACATTCTCATTAACAAGCACTCTTTATTGGATTGTGCTGTATTCTTCTTTCCATAGAGATGAGAAGGAAGCCATGAGGGCCTCCTCATAGTGTAGTTTCTGGTTGTTTTGTTACCCGGTTGGGGGTTGGTGGCAAGGCCAGCATTCTCCCACCACCTGTAACCTACCAAAGGGGTCTGTGGAATATTCAGAGTTTGACCTACGGTGATTCCTTCTTTGTGGCTGGAGTGATAGATGTCTGCAGCATTATACTAGAACAGAGCTTTAAGAAAAGTCTAATGTATGGTTTAATGTAAGACTAGTAACTTAACAGTCTACTCCATAATAACCAGTTTCTTATGATAAGTCATCCCACTGCGTAATGAGCTTCTCTAAGACCCAATGGCCTTATTCCGGTCTGCGCTTCCCCCCAGTGAGGAGACAAAGGCCACCGCAGATCGATGCAACAAGCAAGAGGTTTATTATTATTCCAGCTAGCTGGGGTCCAAGTGTCCGCCCGACACAGCGGGTTTCAACAAGGACCCTGAGCACTCAAAGCCAAGGGTTTATATAGCATTTTCAAAGCACTTAACTCATAGTAATTTCCCACAGCTATACATTATTCTTGCAAGACATACATCCTGGAGTTAGGCAGGAGCAAGATAAGACCACTCCTCAATTGTCAGGGCAGTTCCGCACGATAAGCTTGGTATGTAGGATTAACTGACCAAGGCTAGCTGACCAGGGGTCACCACTGCCTGATTCCGGTGCTCATGATTGATTAACTTGTTTTTCAAAGCCTTACCCAGTTCCTGTTTTTCTATTTAAGTCACACACACTCAGAAAATGGCTTCTAGGCCCTTAAGATGGCTACTCTTATGCTAACCTATTTCTATTCTTACACTTCTCCAGCCTATTTCTATTTTATGAATTGTGACTGATGGGCATAACCATATTTGATATGTGAAATACAAGTGTTCTTGATTTTTGGTAACCTTCGCCTTTATTTTTCTAATTGCTGGTAGGGTGAAGAAAGAAATCAAGGTTATTGATCCTTCAGGAAACATATATTACCAGTGGCTGTTTTGCATCACCTTACCTGTTATGTACAACTGGACAATGATTATTGCAAGGTGCCTCCTTTCTCTAGCACAGGTTGTAAAGAGAGGCTACATTATTCTCAGTGTGTTTTCCTAATATTAGGAGTAGGTGCTATGGTTCCCAATATACTTGGAAATCAATTATCTTTCCAGTATACAGGGGGTGGAAGGGATACCTTTACGCTCTTTATTGCTGGATTGTTTAACTAGAACTTTGGGAGAAACTTGATATTTTCCAACCTACAAGAAAAAATGTTGCCAAGAGTAGAAAAAGATCAAGGATCTAGGTTCCTCTAGAACAAGATGTGTGATTCCCAAGTGGTTCTATGGTTCCCTATCTCTTAAGCAATAAACATCTCATTCATCCAGCTTCAAGCACAATTTCCTGAAGCATTTTGGGCACAGACAGTCAATATGAACATAGTTATCATGGTGTATTACCCAGTGTATTCTGACATTAGCTTGAGGCCATTTATTCTTATTTGATGTTTTTACAAAGCTGACTAATCTAATGGAAAGAATGTTGAAATTCAGAAGTGTAAGAAAATTAAATCCAACTGCTCAGATTTGGGAAAGCCAAGGTTTATTAAATGGACCCTAAGAACCCCTCCCAGGCTTTGTGTTATACTTACCATCATGAGAAAAATTATACAAAGAAGGCTTTTACCTAACTTTACCCCCATTTCACATTATTTACATAAGTTTTTCTTTTACAGAGCGTGTTTTGATGAACTTCAGTCTGATTACCTAGAATACTGGCTCATTTTTGATTACTTATCAGATATAGTCTATCTTCTTGATATGTTTATAAGAACAAGAACAGGTAAATATGTTCAGTTTTGGATATTTTGCAATTTCATACTTTTATCTCTGTAATATAATTTGAAATTTTTTAATTCACATATTCTTCAAAATAGGCTCATAAAATCTGTTTTAAAGGAGAAGGCGCTGTTGAAAGGAGTACCATATATACACCCACAGGTTCTGACCACTGCAGCTGGTTCTGAAGGATGTTACTAGGCAACGTTTTGAATGTGGATTGGTGGTTTTTCTTCATTATCCTGTTCACTGGGTTTATGCCAGGCAAGAGGAATAAAGAGAACAGAAATATTCCACCAGCTCTGTGGGGAAAGGGTAATTACTACCTAACAGAGTCTACCTGAAAAAACATGGGGGGAAATATTACATAGGACAGCTGTACTAGAAATTTTATATGAAATAGGGACACACATCCTTAACTTTGTGGTTCATGCTGAAGCACTGTTGACCAGGGGTCAGGATCTGATAGCTTCCTACTTAAGTATTCTTGATAAGTATTCTTATCTTGATAAGATAAGCAAATAGGTACAAGCTCATTGTTTCTACACTGCTCTGCATATGCAAAGGTAACCAGTGTATACAGAGTATAACTTTTAAGAATCATGTAAAATAAGAACATTCTCTAAATATCAGTGCACTCCAGTTCTGTCCTATTCACAGCTCTGGTAGCTAGTATAGGAAAAGGAACAAATTCTTCCCCTAGTGAAGTGTATCAGAAAGCTGAAATTCTAGGGCCCATGGTAGCAGCATAAGAGAAGGGAAGATCCCAAATGTCTAAGGAAGCCTAGGGGGCAAGAAGGAGAGATGACATCGAAGCCTCAAAGGACGATTATGCTTCACACTGAAGGGGCAAGGCAAGCAGGTGGGGCAAGGTTCAAGGGTGGGGCTGGGATTCTGATAAGAGAGTGTCAAGAAGCATTAGGCACAGTGCTAGTGTGTTAAAGGAGCTTCCCAAGAACACTATTCATAAAAAGAATGGCTTTATGTGGATGTGAAGCTGAAGGTATATATATACACACACACACACACACACACACACACACATTGCATGTATACATTGCACATAATCTCTTACTTTTGCACTTAAAATGTTTTATTTTTTATTTCTGAAAAGGAGTACTTTCTACAACCATATTTTGATTGGTACTCATATCTTATTAGATTGCTGAAAGCATATTTATTGGAAATGAACTCTTATTTTAAACTTGGAAAAGTTCATTAAGAATTTCTTTAGAAAAATTCACAATGGCATAAAAAACAAAAACATTAAATTGATTGTTTTTCTATTTTAGGTTACCTAGAGCAAGGATTGCTGGTGAAGGAAAAGCATAAACTCATAGAGAGATATAAATCAAGCTTGCAATTTAAACTTGATGCTCTATCAGTGGTACCAACTGATCTTCTGTATTTTATTATGGGATGGAGCTATCCAGAAATTAGATTAAACAGACTGTTACGGATCTCTCGAATGTTTGAGTTCTTCCAGAGAACAGAAACAAGGACAAACTACCCAAATATGTTCAGAATTTCTAACCTTGTTATGTATATTATCATCATTATCCACTGGAATGCATGTGTATACTACTCTATTTCTAAAGCTATTGGATTTGGAAATGATACGTGGGTCTATCCTGATGTTAACGATCCTGAATTTGGCCGTTTGGCTAGAAAATATGTATACAGCCTTTACTGGTCTACACTGACTTTGACCACCATTGGTGAAACACCACCTCCTGTGAAGGATTCTGAATATGTTTTTGTAGTGGTTGATTTCTTAATTGGAGTGTTAATTTTTGCTACGATTGTTGGTAACATAGGTTCTATGATTTCCAACATGAATGCAGCCAGAGCAGAATTTCAAGCAAGAATTGATGCCATCAAGCAATATATGCATTTTCGAAATGTAAGCAGAGATATGGAAAAGAGAGTTATTAAATGGTTTGATTATCTGTGGACCAACAAAAAAACAGTTGATGAGAGAGAAGTCTTGAAGTATCTACCTGATAAACTAAGGGCAGAGATCGCCATCAGTGTTCATTTAGACACATTAAAAAAGGTGCGCATTTTTGCAGACTGTGAAGCTGGTCTGTTGGTGGAGTTGGTCTTGAAATTACAACCCCAAGTCTACAGTCCTGGAGATTACATTTGCAAGAAAGGGGATATTGGACGAGAGATGTATATCATCAAGGAAGGCAAACTCGCTGTTGTGGCAGATGATGGAATCACTCAGTTTGTGGTATTGAGTGATGGCAGCTACTTTGGTGAGATCAGCATCCTTAACATTAAAGGTAGCAAAGCTGGCAATCGAAGAACAGCCAATATTAAAAGCATCGGCTACTCAGATCTGTTCTGTCTCTCAAAAGATGACCTCATGGAGGCTCTAACTGAGTACCCAGATGCCAAAAGTATGCTAGAAGAAAAAGGGAAGCAAATCTTAATGAAAGATGGTCTATTGGATATAAACATTGCAAATGCTGGAAGTGATCCTAAAGATCTAGAAGAGAAGGTTACCCGAATGGAGGGGTCAGTAGACCTCCTGCAAACAAGGTTTGCTCGGATTCTGGCTGAGTATGAGTCAGTGCAGCAGAAACTGAAGCAAAGACTAACCAAGGTTGAGAAATTTCTGAAACCACTTACTGATACGGAATTTTCAGCTATTGAAGGATTTGGAGTTGAGAGTGGGCCCCCAGACTCTACACAGGACTGAAAAGCTGGTTATTAACCAGGACATGCCTCATGGTCCTTTTGATGATGCTATTGAAGCTGTTGTATGTTGGAAGAAGAGGAATATTCAGTTGGAGAATTTTCCATAAGGAAAATGTGCTTTAGTGCAAGGCACGAGGCCCTATGTGCAAGTGCAAGGCACTTGTGTGAGGTAGCTTGGATTAAAGAATCATCACTCTTAGGATTTTTCACAATGAATAATGTGCAAAGATACAAACTGATTAACAGTATCTGTATCTACTGATATTTTTTCAGTTATGTTCCTTTTATATAATATTCTTTATAAAAGCGAACAAGTGTCTCTCACTTTTAGGCAATTTACATTGTTGAGGAGCAATTGGGAATTACTATGTACATTGTGTTTGGGATACCATTTAAAAAGAATTAGAATACAATAAAGTAAAATAAATCTTAAAACTTTAATGAATATTATTTATTTGGCAATTTAGTAGGGAGTTTAGGATCTTATAGAGCTTCAGGTCATGTTGAGGACATTTATCATTGTACTCCAGGAGTTAGAAAGGGTAGTCGAGAGAAACTTTTTACTGATAAAAGCATGACATCACTATACAAATATTTGCATAGTAATATTTTATGATGTTAATGCTACATATGTATGTAGCATTAACATCATAAAATGTTGTAGGAATATTTTATAATAAATTCTTAAAATTCTCTCATTATTAAGGTCTGACAATGGTGGCTACTGTCTTCCTTCTCTGACAAGCCAGCAATAAGAAAAAGGGATAGAGGTAACACTCTTGTGGGTGATTAACAAAGGTAATTGTTGCAGTGTTAGAAAAGAGACCTTAAAGTTTTATGAACCCTCATGAGATTTTTAGAAATACAGAATCTCAGTCACTACTTCAGATATACTGTATCAGAATCTGCATTTTTAGCAAGACCCCTGGGTAATTCATGTTCACATTAAAGCTTGAGGAGCATCTAGCTAATGGATGGGATAAATGAGAAAGATGGTTCTTGAAATGAGAACTATATGCCAAGTGTATGGCTGTGCAAAACATTGTTGATCAATCATAAAACTGTCTATTGTTAAATCTAAATGTGGTTCAAAAAATTCTTCTTAACACAGATCACTGGAATTGATATGTTTCTATTCCTGCTTATAACAATATGACTTAACATGGCTTCTTGTGAATTTAGCATTTCAGGTATTTATATGGACCTCAGTCAGCATATTGGTAGAATTTATTCTACTCTATGAATAGAATATCTATTGAAGTATACATTGTCTTTGCAGCCTAGTGTTTCCCTTCTACATCTTACCTCTCTTCAGTATTAGCCAGCAAATGTTTCTTCACTACAGAAGTAGTTAGTCCTGTAGTGGGTGAGCCATAAGTAGTATATAACATGGATTCTGCCTGAGATAATAAGTGCTTCTTTTCCTCTTTATTCTTATTATTCCTTCTTCATCCACATTTTATTCTTTCCTTTGTGTTCTTTCTTGTCTCTTATAAAAACCTTTAGGACACTGTAAAGAGGCTGCTGGACACTCATATTTGGTGAGACAGGAACGAGTGAGGGTTACACTCCTGGCTCAGGGCTGGCTCCCAAGGAGAAGCAGCCCCAGTCACAGCGTCTAGGAGGGTAAGTATCTGGAGTCCGATTTGGGTGAGACATATCCGAGGGTTTTTACTTGATGAGCTCTTACCCAAAGGTCTGCAGGTTGGTTACATTAGGCAGGTGGCAGATTCTTGGTTCAAAGATGTGAGGTAAGGAGGGTTTAGCCAGTTCCATTCACATGACTCCTCCAGGTGTAGATTCTGACAGGTGCCATGAGGGCTCCATTTAGACACCTGGAGTGTAATGCAGAAGTTTTCAACTGGGTCCCAGATTCATGAGGGAACTTTTCAAAAAGACAGGGAACATGTGGCTTTGGGGAGATTCATAGGGTGCTAAACTGGGAATGTGTGATTGCCAATGCAGGAGCTCACCATTTAGCAACCCATGTTCCATGCTGATTGCAGACTCCAGTTGGCTGTCTGGAACTAATAAATTAAGATATTGATTCTAGGACTGGTTTGACCTAAGGACAAACGAGGGCTAGTTGACCTTTGAAGATGTTTAAAGTACACCTGAGAAGATATGAAAGAGAATTTTGGGACTCATAGATAGCAGATCTGTGAAGGAGCAGAAACCAAACTGTTTCAATATTAGGCAATCACTTAGTGTTGCCAATATGTCTGATAAGTTTTACTCTGCACCCCAACTCTATCGTTATGTAATGTTTTCATAGGAAGCAATCACTTCAAAATTTTGCATGTATTTTAAAAAATCTTGTTCCAACTTGAAATATTATGTGATTAAGTTTCTTACCATTAGGTGGCAGTGTTGGTCTATAATTATGATTTTCAAATCTGAAGCTGTGTATTTTTTTCTCCATAGCATTTATTAGGTAGTAAAACCAGAGCTCTTTGGCAACAACGGGCAATTTTTATTCTAACATGGATTTTCTAAAAGATTTTAGTACAGAAAAATATATACCAATCTAAAATGAAAACATTCAATAAGAGTTAAATGCAAATTTAATGGGTAAGGTAGCAAGGTAATTTGATGCATTATGATATGTTTAATTTCAGGGAGTTCACCAAGGCAGTAATGATAAGACATCACAAAAAGCTTTTTACCAATGTGTAAGATATGTGCTAGAGGTAAGCAGAAGGGAACAAAAAAGGAGCAAGCAGCATTCATATTTAAATTGAGTAATATTTTTATTTTAAAAATAGTCCACTGATCGAAGAAGTTTGAAAACTACTGATGTGTTTTAACAATGTTGAAGTATGTCTGACTGGGACACTGTCAGTTCAGGTAATAGTCTTCCTTATGGCTACTGAAATTGTTTTAATGGATGTCCTAGTTATATATCATTTAGAATATAAAATACAAAACAACAGATTTAGAGACTCAATTACAAATTATTACAGAAGAAATAATTTGCTATTTACCTAGTTAGTTTACCTCTAGGTAAATGGAGAAAGAGGGGAGTTCAAGGAGAGGGAATCAAGAGAGTAGAGAAAATGCAAAAAAGACTCTAGAGATCATTTAGTTGGTGCTTCCTCATTTTCCAAATACAGAAATGATGATCAGACAACACTACAATTGACAAGAATATAGAGTATTTGGAACTTTGAGTGAGAGTTGGAATTTTCACTATACATGGGGGAACAACATGCTAATATCTGCTAGAGCCCAATTCCATTCTTAGGTATAGTCAATACAGAAAATAGGCCACATATGCACAATGAGATATGTTGAAGAATGCTTATAATACTAAAGAACTGGAAACAAATGTTTATCAAAAGGAGACTAGGTATATAAATTGGAATTTATTCATGTAATGGGATACTACAAAATGTTTGAGATAATAACATAATACTTACATAGTGCTTAGTTTGTGCCAGGCCCTGCCCCAAGTACTTCTAAGATGTCAATGCAGTTAATCCTCATGATAAATTATAAGATAGGTTCCATTATATTTTCTGTTTAAAAGATGAGGAAATGGTGGCACAGAGAGTTTAAGTAATTTGCCCAAGATCCACAGGAAGAAAGTGGCACCACCATTATTAGAAGCCAAACAGCGAGGCTTGGGTGCTTGCCTGTCACCCTTTCATTTGTGCCCCGCTCTTGTATGTACACATATCATCTACATAAAGTTTACAAACATACAACACAATACTAAATAGTGTTTATGGATCTGTACCTATGTTGTAACAATTTAATGACAGGCATGGAAATGATAGCAGAAATCAGAATAGTGGTCACTTGTGTGCAGTATGGAGAGAAGGGGATGGGAGGGAGAGTGAGAAATTCATAGGACTTCAACTGTCTTTACAGCTTCTCTCTTTTAAAACAATCTAAGGAAATATTGGTTCAACTGTTCAGATTTGACAAACCTAGGTACAAAACCTAGGTACGAATATATGTGTGTATGTGTATATATACATAAGCTGTCTATAATTCCCAGTGTATTTGAGCTATTTCAAATGAAGGAAAAAAAGAGTAGAGAAATTAAGTATAAAGTCACAGAGCTAGTTTAGTGGTAGATCCTGGACTTTCGACCCTTGTTCAGTGTTCACCCCACTATAAGGTTGCAACATGTCCTACATGGACCAAGTGGAGCGCTTCATGGGTTTCTATGTGGTGATGACATGCCTGTTACCTGTATGTTTCCATTTTAAGCTAGTCAAGTGCATATTGAGTAAATTCAAGACAATACTTTCTAGAATTACATTTCATGACTGGCTCTTGGTTTCCTGATTGAGTTAGAGGTGAAAGAATGCCTTGTTCACCAATGCATTCCTTTGGGCTTCTGAAAATAGTGATATACCACAAAATTACTGATCTGCCTCACAACATGGGCCCTTAAAAAAAAGTTGATATCAGATTTCTTGTCAGATTGCCAATTTCTCCTCATTTCATTTAGGTTCTATCTGGGCTGAGCTTCAGCCAGTTGGATTTGGTCCAAGAAGCTAACTGAGTTAGTTCTTCAGACAGCAGGGATTCTGTTTACTGGGTTTGTCACAAAAAGATTCATGATGCTGAGGAGCACAGGTATCCTGGTGGCACCAAAATCCACGGTATTCCATGACATCCCTCAATGGCCTCATTGCTTACTCTCTGCAAAACAGTGCCAGATGAGACACCCAGGGCATGAGGGCTGAACATTTGTTAACCATTATCCTGGGGGCTCTAGAATAGGAAAGTAATTTTTTTCCCACTCATTTTTGAACATAACAAGCCACTATCCCCAGTTACTTAGTTTGCAAAGAATACTGATAATTAATAGGTCTACATTGTAGGTATTTCCATTGCTCTATGGCGATGTCATTTCAAAATGCCCAATGAGTACAAAATATATAAAATTACCAAAGAAGCATACTACAATAAAGTAACATGAAATCTGCTTTGATTACCCCTTTATTTTTATGTCTAAAATAATGGGTCATTTGAAACTCACTGATTAAGGAGAAACAAGACATTGGTGACAGAAAAATGAGTTTTTTTTTTCTGATACTAAATCCCTAAATCCTTTAATTTAGACCTCTCTTAATTTAACACTGGTGACCTCATCTCGTTTCTTCCTTTTACCCAGGAAAACGGGGTCTGCTCTCTTGTTATCCATACCAAACCAGAAAGCTGTTGTTTCTTTGCAGCTCAGAAAGTGTAGTAAAAAGTCACAAAAATATGAAAATGCATAATGTAGATAGCTATATTTCAAACACTTATCTGCGATCAAATACAGTATGACACTAATATTGGCAATGTGGATTGAGCATTTGCTGAGCTCAGTTAAGATTACTCTCTTCAAATCATATTATCCTCTCAAATAGGAAGCCATAGCTAGAT